GTACACACACATGCACACCAAACACACACACACACACACACACTAGCACACTAAGTCCCCATTGAGAAGGGGATTGGGGGGACTCCTAATAGAAGTTGTAGCATTGGAGTAGAAACCAAAGGGTTTGGTTTACAACTGTCTGGCAGGCAGTAGTCAGCATATTGTGGATCCCACAGGTCCAAGTCATCCCGAAGTGCTTGGAGACCATGCTGAGCCCTGGCTACTCCTTTCTTTACACTGCACCCCACATCCTCAGCAGGGCCTGATAGGGACAGTGCCTGAAGTTGCTAGGCCTCACTGTTATTTACCATTTATGATTCTCCAGGACCAGAAGTGTTCTGTCACCCTCCTTACACTCTGTGTAAAGAGCTGATGTCCTTTTGTGGGTAAAACGTGCATCTGTTAAATTCTACCAATATTTCCTGCAGTATCTCCTAATCTGTGCGCTGGGCAATGCTGGTGTCTCACAAATGGGTCAGATCCAGGCCTTTCTCTCAAAGAGCAATCAGGCTGGTGGGAAAGACACTTCATAGTAACAGGGCTGAGCCAGGGGGTTATCGTGGTCTGGGTGGTGAGAGGCACTGAATCTGGCCGGGAGAATTGGGCAAAACTTCCCAGAGGAGTCTGGGAAAAAGTTGGATGGCTCCGGTACTGGGGGTGCACAGAGGGAGGACCAGAGAGAGGAGACAGGGTTTCAGGCTCCCACCATGGGATTGTGAAAAGGCTAAGCCAATGCCTGCTCCACGTTGCCTTTGTCCTGTGCTCAAAGGGATATCCTTTTAAGATTGGATGTCTCACCTCTAGACCTGTTCCAACATTCTTTTTTTTTTTGCCCTGTTCTGCATCTGCATCTCCCATCCAGGAAAAGCAAGATAAACAAGCCAAAGAAGACTGTGGAAACTACATCACAATGGAGTCCTCATTCTCTCCGGAATTAGAAAAGTCTACTAAATTCGTAGAGCCCTCAGAAACCCTAGAGTCTATAATAAACCTGGAGCCCCCGGAGTCTCCTCAGCTTACAAAGCCTTCTCAGCATCCACTCGTCTCTCACACTGGGTCTGCATCCAATGGGGGTCACTCTTAGACCTGGTCTTAGAACTTTTGAAGAGAAACTTTATGATTTGTGGTTTGCATCAGCCAGAAGAAACATGTCCTGCCCTGGGATAGTGTCAAAGGAAGGAAAAATATAAGCAAGACTATGAAACAGGTACACCAGGAAATAGCTTTTGAGGCCGTACTATGTGCCCAGTACCTGAGATAAGCATACAAGAACACCAGGCTTTGAAACCATCCTATACGGATTGAATCTCAACTTCAATGCTTAATGGCTGTATGCTTTTGGACAAGACCTTTTTACCCCCCCTGTAAACTTTAGTGTGGGCCAGCCCGTGGCTCACTTGGGAGAGTGTGGTGCTGATGGCACCAAGGCCACGGGTTCGGATCCCTATATAGGGATGACTGGTTAGCTCACTTGGGAGAGCGTGGTGTTGACATCACCAAGTTAAGGGTTAGACCAGTCATCTTTAAAATAAATAAATAAATAAATAAATAAACTTCAGTGTCCTCACCTAAGATGTACCTGGGTGAAAAGTGGTGTCCAGTGATGCAGGTGAAGAAAAAACACAACAGTGGACCTTGAACACCAGGATAAGGAATTGAGGTTTTATCTTGGAGTTGATCCTGACTCCCTTGGAATGTAAATTCCATGAAAACGGGACCTGTCTGCCTTCTCTTCTACTTGTATCGTCAGCACCTAGAATGGCACCTAAGATACAATAGGCTCTCAAAATGTTTGTCAAATAACTGAATAAATGAATGAATGAATGGATTATAAGCTGATGTAAGTTTTGAAGTAAAGAAGTAAAGTGTAGTGACTAGATATGTGAGGGTACTTCAAAAAGTTCATGGAAAAACAGAATTAAAAGAAACTAATCTTTCCATGAACTTTTGAAGACCCTGATATACAGAAAGATTATTCTCTCTCACATATGTATATGAGCCTGGAAAGTTCTGGCCTCTCAGGAGCTCACGCCTTACTCTGAGCTCCAGCTACATTGACTTGCTCCAGGCTCTCAAACTCATCAAATCTTTCCTTTCCCAGAGCCTAGAATGTGCTGTTCCTTCTGTCTTGCTGGGTCTCAAGGGCTCTGGTGAGAAGTTTAGGTTTTATCCTCACTTGTGGAGAGTTATTTCCTTGTGTACTTGTCATTTCAGAAATGAGAGAGAGTATCTATGAGAATCTTGTAAAGCAGAAGGTTTGAATTAAGGATAGGAGCCTCTATTTTATATACACACACACACATAATAGAGGTTACTCTTAGACCTGGTCTTAGAACTTTTGAAGGCATACTCTATGATTAGTTCTTTGAGTCAGCCAGAAGAAACATGTTCTGCCCTGGGATGTGTTAAAGGAGGGAAAAANGAGAGAGAGAGAGAGAGAGAGAGAGAGAGAGAGAGAAAGAGAGAGAGAGAGATATTAAAGATGTATTTAGAAGAGGTAGGACAGGAGGCAAAGAGGAGGTTAGGCCAAGCTAAAGGCAGGCATGCAAGGAATGAGAAAGAGATTCCAGCATTAGAATGGACCATGGCTGTGTATTGTTCCCCTCAAAATGGATGACAACCTCCCTTTTGGAGCCATATGCCAGTAGTTCTCAGCAGGTGGAAATAGGGTCACCTCTTGCCGGGGGCAGTATTTGTGAGTAAATACAGTGATTCTGTAGCACCATTGTGTACTGAGGTCAGAGGTTTACATAAGCCCCCACATGTATAAAGCACCTCTTGCATGCAGCTCATGCATTCTACAGGAATATGAGCACCCACCACGTTCCAGATAATGAGGGGAATAAGTAGGACACTGGCCCTGCCGCCACAGAGTCGTGGTCTACACAGGTATGCAGACATACACAGACAAT